AGGGATCAGGTGGCCTGAGACTTAATGAGTAAATTAATTAATTAATTAATAAGTTATCCAGAATGTTCAGGTGTCCCTTTAAATTCAAAAGTGAGAAACACTGACATACCCTGAGCCTTTTGAATTTCACTTACCTAACAGTTTTTTAAGGCTGCAGTAACTTTTATTCCAATTTTGAATGTTTTTTTTATGGGCTTTTGCTTCAGTATCTTATACTTTTGCACTGTAATACCATATCACATTAAACACTCTAACAGTGTTGCTTCAGCTGGACACAAATAAGGTCACCAAATTCTCATTTTCCCCTCTCCTGAAGTGCTGTGAGTGTGGTGTGTGGACTGGAGTGTGCTAACACACAGCTGTGCTGCCCAACACTTTAGGTAAAGCTGGGGAGCATCATCCCCACTTGAAATGATAATATTTGGTGGTGTTATGCTGCTTCATCTCTTGTCTCATTCATCTTTCAATCAAGTGAGCTGTCAAGCTCGTACCAAGGAAATATCCTAATTATTGCCATTAGTTTCATGTCAAAATGTCAGCATTAATGTGATGGGGGAAATAGATTTCCCTTCAAAGGCTGGGAAAATTTGCTTGTGACATCTGACATCTGACTGGGGGAATGATGAGTGTGATTGCCTTCGGGTGGGAAAAATACGCAGCTTTATCTCAGTTGTGTTGAAAAACCTTTTCCCCAAGAGCACCTTATGTGCTCACAGAGCAAGAAAAGCATCTGCAGGCCATTCCCTCCACCGTTCTTTTTGGAGTTCTGAAGATGTCCTTAGATCTTGGACAAGAATAGTTTCCCCATTTCCTGTTCCCATAGTAGGAGGAGACTTCCAGGAGCTTATGGCTTTTGTTCTACCACTCCAGCAGATCCAGAATTCCTTTCCTACCTCACTACCTTTTCCTTCTCAGGGTTATTTAGGAACTAGAGCTCTGAATTAGCTGTAAATTACCTTTCACCTATTGTATTTAGCACCCACCTAAATAAATGTGGTCCAGGGTGAACGTTTAAGCTTTTTTTCATGGAATTCATCACTGTATCTCCCTTTAGGAAGAAGATGGACTGCGGATGAGGAAGGTACCCCAGCCAAACAACCCAATCTCTCCTTCTGCAGCTGCTGTCAAGGACGAAGGGCTCAGCTCCAGACTACTTGCTTTGGTGGTTTTGTTCTTTGTCTTTGGTGTAATTATAGGAAAAATAGCCTTGTAGAGGCAGCATGCTGGAAATTGTAAATTGGTTTGATGGTTCTGCCATATCATTGGATTAAATTTATTCATAACAATGTTTAAAAAAAAAAAAAATTAATGTATGACATCTCACAGGTCTTGCCTTTAAATTACCCCTGCACAAATACTATGTAACATAATCTAGAAAGTTTAAAATGTACGATGAGCGAAGGAATGAGAGAGAACACGCTTCAGTGATGAAGGGGAGGGGGGGAGAAAATCCTGATTTAACACTACAATGGAATATTGTATATGTCATTTTAAACATTCTTAGACCCTGGTACATGTTGCTGGATTACCTCTTTTTAAAAAGAAAAAGAAAAAAAAAAGGAAAACTAGAAAAAAAAAAATTAAACCCTCTTCCTCCAGTGCTGGAGCTGGCCCTAGGGATGTTTGGAGCTGGGTTAGGCAGGAGGTGTCGATAACTTCTGTAAAATACGTTAATCCACCATTCTGCTCATAAATTTAACAGTTTCTGTCGGTGTCTTCAGCTCTGTGCAAGTTCCCAGTTTCTTGGCACTTCCTGAGTGGTGAGCAGCTGCAGAGAGCCGTGTGTGGGCAGGGGGGGTGCCGGGCAGCACCGAGGGGCTGGTGCTGATGGCGGGACGCGCTTGGGATGAGGGGGCGATGGATGCCTTGTTCTCACCGAGGGGACCAAGCTACACTGCTGTCGGGTCATTTAGTCCAATTAAAAATGTTATTCGGAGATGTTTGAATGCATATTTGACTTCTTTAATGTATTTCATCTCATGTTTCCTTCTCGTCCCAAAACTGACTAATCCTGCGTGGTCTGAAAAGGCTCCTGTTCAAAGCCAGTGACTTAGAGCAAAAAACTTGCTGCTGTGCTGGTGTGAGATTCTTCTGCCTCCTGGTGTTTTGGGCACTACACAATTAATTGTTGGGAGTTTTGATCATCTGAGCATTGGGGAAAAAAGTGGTCAGGAAACTTGTTTTTGTATGTAAATAAGTCTATCTAGGGGAAAAAAAAAATATTAGTAGTAAACTAGTCCTATGCCGTAAAAGACCAATCCTGTTCGACTATGTAGCATCTTAAAAAAAAAAAAAAAAAAAAAAA